TTAATAATCGTTCATTGAAATTTCAATGTGCGCGGTGTTTCCGATGACATCATTCTCACTAGACCATGAGATTCTGCCAACGCACCGTGCTCTGTGGGATATGCGCTCCAACTGCTTGTGATAACAGAATACTGGAATATCGGTAACGGGACCACAACTGGCATTCAACGAAAGACCTATTTTGGTTTTAAATTGGATGTTATATATTTCATGAATTCCATGTAACTATGTACATTTCTGGTAAACCTTTCAAAATCCGATGACCTAACTCAGTTCATATGTTGACACCATGTACCATCCTAAAATTGGTGATGTTCAGGGCTGGATTTAGACCATGAGAGGCCCCTTTATATTTTTGAACTCAGAATTTCTCTAAACAACACCACATACAATTTCTTAAAATTTAAAAATATGAAAGCATTAAACTTTTCATTCTCCCCATTCATGGGTGTGAATTTTTAATTAAAAGAATAAAAATTTACTTGAGGCAGTTTTGCTTTCAATTTCTTTGATCAAACAACCGCTACAGCCATACTTTAACATAGAAACTTCCAGCAGAATGCGCATAATAATAATTTCCCTTATTATGATGCAAACGCAATTCGCATATTCTTTTCATTAATGTCATTAGCATTTGAAGCTTGACTGATTCCAATGTACCTTTTCCATTGTTGTTTAATGTAATATCCTAAACGTAACTTCAAATTTTTTTCTCACTTTAATCATCACATGTTTGAATACCCGAGCTGAATCCTACTGATTTGTTATTAATTTACAATTTTTTTTTATAAATTAACTGTCGTACTTGCTAAGTGTCCCCAAAGTGAAAATTTACAAAAAAAGGCAGTGGTTTAATAATAGACTACATTTTTAACCGAATCAAAAAATATTCCGTATTTTAGTCAACCCTTCCTCCAAGGAGTTTTTGTTAAATTGTTCAAACATTTTAATTAACTGTTAATCTTGATAGCAAACATGTGGGGCCGGGGGGAGCTGACTGTGATGGTCGCATTGCTCCCCAGTCTATACCGAATAACTGTGTGTTTTGTATATAATTTTTATTGATTCAATGCTTGTATTCTGGTTGACAAAATAAATCTCCCTCTCGTATTCAGTCATGTTTTTTAACCTAGTTAGGAGACTGGTATTCTACCATTATAGGTTGGAGATATTCATCTTTTTCGTATACCGGTACCGTACAACTTATCCTGCCTATTGGCAGGATGGCCAACATTTTTGTTCGTAGGCCTATTTCAGTATTTACTAAATAATTTATCATAATATTTACTACTTTATTCTATAACTCAATAATTATGTAAGAACGGTATTTCTGATACAATAATGTCTTGTCATGGTTTCGGTGGAAGATTCAAGATTCTTATCATAACTCTATTTATAAATTTTAAACAATAGAACATAATCGGAAAATAATTTAGTTACGGTTACATTATCGAAATAGGCCCATGCAAAGAAATCGGCATTGAGATATTCTTCACCAAGCAATGTTGATGATTGAATAATTTTTACAAATCCATCTGGTACATTTGATTCTTGTATACACGATTCATTCCATTTGATAGAAAAAAACGGTAAAATATTCAATTTGAGAGACTCAAATTTTTCTTAAGCACCTTTGATGATGCAAACTAGGACAATATGACTATGATATAAAAAAAAAAAAGGTCGTCGAACGAAATCAGGAAGTTTCACAATCCGTTGTGAAGATGACAGGCCGATTTTAATGAAGGTGAAAGGACGATTTTATAACCAAAAAAACGACTGAAGTCCCACACCAAAAATGTATTGGCTATAAACGTACTTACTTACATTCGCAACTAGCATATATTTTTCTGCCCTAAAATAGCTGCTCTAAAAATCAACCTGATGTTTGTATAACAATCCAATAACTATTTTAAAAAAATTATGTCTTTTTCAAACGTCTCACTTGCTACATTTGGAAAATTGAGATTAAATTGGCGCGGAAATACAGTAGAAGAACCTTAAGAAAAACTAATAAAGAAAAATATGATAAGGAGGAGAATAAAGATTAGTAGGAAAGATAGTGGACGTCTTGAAAGACACAAAAATTACACAACGACTGATAGAGTTGAATTAAAATTGAATTTCAAATCTGTATTCCTGTTTTTGTATTACTCAGTATATTTGTCCTCGGATTCAATTCGAAGTTAATTTGTCATGAATATAAATTCCCGATGAGATTTGACGACTTTCTAATCCAACCATGTTTCTAAATTTTTAGGCTTAACTATAATTTAAAATTTAATGAAAAAAATAATGAAAAAATAACTCATAATTTTCTTTTTCAGAAAAACGCCATTGTTAACGCCTCCTTTATTTTTTAAGTTGGTATACAAGTCCATGATAAATATTGCAAGAAAACTTCTTGCTGAGATTTGTATATGTTCGCATATAAAATAAAACAACAGTACAGTATAACCCCAAAATGTCAGCGAACCCCACTTTGGGGACAACTAGATGAATGTGTAGAGCTACAACTATTCTATGATGTCATAACAAACCACCCCCAGTGGCGGGATTCAAAGGATTCACATGGGTCCCGCGAACCCGCGACAATCAACGAGTCCGCGACAATCAGCGAATCCGTTCTAGTTTTTCGTTTTAGGCATTAGACGGCTACTGCAAATGGCTAGAGTGCACCGCTGGCGACTAGCGTTATATTTGGCGTTTCCAAAGTTATGTATCATATTTATGTGACGTGTCATGTTATTGTAGCTTACGTATAGTGACATACATACGATTTCTGAAATGAGGAAACTTGTTGTTGGTGAATTCGATCCAGAAGAAAAATGCTCTCAAAATTCTAAATTTCATCACTTCCCATCCTTCTACTAAAATATCTTGAAATTCTTATGGAATTAAACAAAACGTAACAAATGCGAGCGATTGCTGTGCGCATTAATGAACCATCACACGTAACTCGCAAACAAAATGGGAAGGCGGCCACTGAATGACGCTTGAATCGTAGTAATTTATTACATCGCTCGTGAGTTGTGATAATTAGCTTTTTATTTTTTAATCAATCACAGCGCAATGCTCAAATTTATTGGCACGACGGCCAAAACAAATTAATATCAAATCGTCTGCAGTACCGGGAGTCTTCATTATCAAAAAACTCCTGACATGCGATCGCGGAACCGCCGCACAATGTGCAATTTTCAATTTTGATGAGATCATCGCACAAAACTTCTGAGTGAAAAAAGAATCCAATAGAGCCCACAGAAATCTTTGAATTAAACAAAAGTGATAGCCGTCTAGTGACAACAAAAATCTTTATCCCCCTTTATATGTTCTCAATATTACCCTCGACATTTTTATAGAGATAAAGTAAAAGCTTAACCAGATACTAATCTCTTTCAAAACGAAGCCCTTTCCTAATCTTCACAATCTCTAGCATCAATTGGAGATTTTTTTAACCATCCATTTATTTGCAGCCGAGCATGTGTTAATAAGCTAACGAGCCAACTATTCAATTTTTTCCAAATAAGATTTTGTAAGTATGAGCTAGTAATATACACAGGTTTTATAGTCCATATACATGCTGTGGATGGGTTGCGATGAAGCGCTACCAACGACACTTGTATATGTTAATTACTGAGTTATTCAATCTGTCGGCAATAAAAACTTTAAGTTACCGTTACAGTGGTTCCCAAACGTTTTGTACCATCGCCCCCCTACAGTAGTTTATACAAATTCATCAAGATTGGAAATTTTTTTAAATTGGCATCACCAATCCTAGTTCTAGCTTGTTCTTTGTAATGTTCATTTTGGAAAATAATTGTTCGCACACATATGTACTTCTAAACATCGAAATGAATATTATCGCATGGTTTGTCAAATTTTGATAAAGATTTTCTTTAGGATAACACACTCTTACAAAAATTAAACAGTGATGAATCCCTCGAATAGAATATGAATTTTCATTCCTTATTGCATTGCAATATATTCGAATATTTACTGCGCTATTGAACCCCTGCACTCAGCATCAACTTTTCTGCGTGTTTCCAATTGTCTAATTATAATTGAATTGTAGGCTCGTTAAACGAGAAGCTGTTTAATATAATTTTAAGGATATAATAAAATTTTGTCTAAACGTGCCTCACGATAAATTCTGTTACATAAAAAAATGTAATTTACTCCTCGAGCGTAGATTGTAAATAAAATTAATTCATCGCCAAATCCGCCGTTTGGATGTTTCCCCGGGCATAGACTTCCTTGTTTACTTCAGGACATTGGCCATTCAGCACGATGCAAAAATAAACGTAACAATGCCCCCTTTTGCATCCGCTCAGACACATTTCTTACTCATACAGATATTCAAGCGTAGTCGTGAAAATTACCTCATTTTGGCGTTTTCGAATGATATTCGTTAGCTTTTAGTTGTTTTTCGGAAATTTAAATATAAATAAAATAAATCAATGATCACTTTGTCTTCCCAGAAGTTTCAGTTTAATTACAGTAGGCAAAAATTTGGTGTAGAAATGTCTTTGATAGACTAGGCTAAAATTCTTTACTTTAAAAAACAGATTGTTGAATGGTATGAATTAGAATGATAGTTTGAAACAAATACCTCGTTTTACAGGCAACAACTCGCCAAACCACTCTTAAAATACGCACCGAAAATTTTAAAATAGTAAAGTATGGGGAAAATTTTCCGGGCTCAATAGTCGGCGGTTCATTCAATGGAGTACAATAGAACCGCCGTATTTTGGCGACCACTGGGATACGGAAACGATCGCATCTTACTGCAAAGATGAGTCCAGCAATCTTTTCGCGTGTGATAATCGCCTACGTGATTCAAACATACGAAAGCACACAGAGTACAGTAATCAAGTGCACGATGCGCCGAACAAAAACAGGTTTCTAGAAATCGCCCTCTATCACCCCTTCGACTTTTTCGCCTCCCTCTGTAGCGTTATCGTCCACCGGAGGGCGATACCGCCCACATAGGAAATCACTGGTCCAGAAGACGTTTTATATTGAATAAGTCATAATTATTATTATCCATTCAAAATACAGTATAGCAAGCAGAAGCAATGAACAAATATCTTCAAATATCCGAAATCAAATTTTTTCATTTTAATAATATGCGTGAATTAGGTATAAATGATGAAACCACTGAAGTTCCATGAAAAAATACATAATTGGTTTTTATCAAATTTCTAATCAGCCAATATATTTTCCAGTTTCATAGTATTGAATCGGGAGATATGGAATCTATCTCCATGACTTGGATCCTTTGTAGCAGGAACATCCGCAAGGCACCTGGAAGACACAATACAATAAGTTAAAAGAGAGTTTTTTCAAGAATATGTTACTGGAACAGATATCATGCCGTTAGAGGTTATACATATTATAGCAGAAGTACCGATATACCAAGGACTAACATGAGAGCCGGGATTATTTGCGTTTTCGTCGCAGCAATATGATTTAAGTGGTTCCTGATTATGATTTCATTTGCCAACTAACTTATGAGACAGCGTGGTTTCATCAATTATCTACAAACCCGGCTGATTTTCCGAAACGTTGCTTAATTAGAATATCACGAAAATGTATATTCGCACCTGTACTTTTACGGTGTCCTGGTAGTAGAAGTCTTTGTATTTATAGCATGCTACAAACTTATGTAGGCACTTGCTCGTGTAACAATAGCATTTGCTGAAGATAGGTTTTGGATAGCCCGGTCGATAGCCACCTGGAGTCGATCCATGTGGAACTGATGATGGTACATAGCTACCTGAATTCGATCCATGTGGGAATGAATCCGATCCATAGCTACCTGAATTCGAGCCATGGGGGAATGAATTCGATCCATGTGGGAATGAATCCGATCCATAGCTACCTGAATTCGATCCATGGGGGAATGAACTCGATCCAACATAACTTCCAGTGCGTCGTTTATATCTACCGTTTAGCTGATGGCACGATTTTCCAGGATAATATCTGCAAGCATGAAAAAATATCAGGTATTCTCGTTATATATATCTGAATTCTGATGCATGTGTACATATGAATATAAACCACCTGCGTTATGTCCTCCAATTTCTCACTGAAACGGTTAAGCTTGAAGTTAATATTGAAGAAACATGGATTTTTTGACCAAAGGGAAAATTGCAAACAGCTTTGTTTTGTGATTTATTTCAACCCCATTTAAGCCGGAACCTCCATATGGTTTCGTAATTACAGCAGTAGAATTTCGATAGCGTCTTCCGATATTTATTTACTTATAATGGAATAGTGTGAGATTATAAAAACATTTCCAACCGCGATACACAGTACCAACTATTTAAAATAAAGTATGAAACAAATATGTCAACGATTTTTCCTTTGGTAAAAAATCCAATATTTTTTTGAATAGTAATATTTAAATGTCTTATTTCTAACGGTAGCTTCTTGTTGCCACTTTTTCAGTGAGAAATTGTCGAACACAGAGCATGATTAGTTGGTTTAAACTTATACATACAAGTGCATCGCGAATCAAATGAAGGCTTTATCGAAGTCTACTACATTCACTGGAATTAACTTGGGTAGGTACTTTTTCATGTAGGTATTTATTTTGCTCAGTATGTTCTGACTTGAGTCGTAGACAATGCCATATAAAAAATCACAAAGATTTCTTAAAGATTGTATAATATCAGTGCATTGTCACAATTCTTCTTGTTGTTTTTAAAATTCATAATCAATTCCACTTACAAATATGAAAATATTCTTACTCGCATTCTTTTGCCTTATAGGAGAACACTTTAGAAAGCTCCACTTTGCCATGGCATCTACTGGTTGCGTAGGAAAAATGGATATCACACGATTGGTCGGGGCAAGATTTGTCATAATATCCAAAATTTGGTTTCGGATTTGGACAATATCCTCGCTTTGCGTGCGCGCTGCAAACAATATCGGAAAAAATGTTAAACAAATCATGTTTATTATGAATTATACAAAACCACTTCTACGCATGACAAGTTCCCGATCCTAGCTCTGATCAGATATGCAATTGTTAAAAGCAACTCGGCGTTTTGGAGACCGTTAAACTCAGTAAAAGAAGGTGGTCATTTCCAAATATGGCATAAAAGGTCTGCATCGTTTTGAGAGAGAAAAAAATTTAAACTGTGACTACAGAACCTTGTGTGGCTGAGCTGAAGAGGTTCTAAAGAAACAATTGGCAACGTAAGGGGATTGGCCGAATTGGGCAAAGCCCACAGATCACACCCTTGACTGTTCACGAAAGCGATATCAGCAAAGGCTGATCTGTAGGAAGTGTGACGTTGAGTGGGACACTTCGTTTACCTGTTTGAACCCCCAGATTTTTATCAGTGAGAATATTTGAAGGGCAATGTGTATTAGAACAATCTTGGCGAACTTAGGGGTGCAATTGCAGCAAAAATCATGCGTGACAATTTTGCGCAAAAGTTGCAAGTTCTGTCACCGATGCTGGGAAGGTCATTCGGAACATATTTTAGAGTTAACATAACTTTTGTGCAAAGCGCCCAAGATTACTGAAACTTCTGGGGACAATCATACACAAACAAAAGTTCAAATGTAAACGAAATATAATAAATTTTATTTTACTTTCGTAGAAATAGTTAGGAAATAATATATGGGTTCTGTTTTTGAGGGTCATCCAGTAATATTAAATAGAAAAGTTATATAAACAAACCCATTATTATCAAAACAGCATTTCTGAACGAAGTTACGTAGTTGAGATTAAGACAGTGCCCGAGTAATATAAAACAAAAATGATTGAAATAATCGATACTTACAACTTTAACTTCGGCAATATCTTCTGTATGCTTTCTGAGTACCAGATGAATATCTTTCGCCATAGCCGTAGCCGTGGAAGTACTTTTCACTACCTTTTAAAAAAAATGTTTTTTGTATTTGTATTACAAATTTTTAGCTACACTTACAACCTTTCAATCAGGTAGCTTGTTAAAAACAAGAATCAAATATTAAAAAGAATCTTGTGCCAATGTATAATAAGAGTTGTTAGTTGGGATTGGGTTTTATCATAAACGAATAAATGTAAGCGATTGAGCATTACATTACAAGCAATCTATTTTTAACATTGTAAAATGCTTTCAGATTCACTTATTGGAAGGTGTAATTTATTTGAACAAAGTTTTTAGACATAAATATAAAATAGAAACGACATAATATGTGTTGACTATGATTGACATCAGTCGCATGATATTTTCGTAGCAAATAACGAAAAAAATGAGAAATTTGTTTATACGAGAAATGACCCTAATCTCAGAAATTATACAAATTGTTATTTTCCCAAAGAGATGATACCCAAAGTCAGGTGCTGTCACTCTGGCGTAAAGAAGATTTATCTCTAAGCAAGGTTACAGCCGATCACTGACAGAAAAGTCAAGGTTACTGAAACCATGTAGATTAAAGGTGGTGCATTACGCGTTATTAAATGCCGACTAGCGCATTTAAAGTCAATGCGATCAAAAAAATACGACACGTTATAAGCTTGACACATACTGAAGAAGGTAGATTGACAGAAAGTAAATAAAATATAACATTCAATCGAGTACGACAGCTGAAAACAAGTTTCTGAAGTTCATAATAACACAGTCCGTTTTAATATTCATATCTTACATACTAACCTTTTTCACGTAGCACTTTTTCGGTTGATTGTAGTAGTTGCCGAGCGCCAATGCACATAGTGCGAAAAAAACAAAAGTCGAACAAGCATCATCTTTTCCGTCGCTACTGACTCGATCGCTTTTTATCGAATTCGTAGAAGGTGGAAGAATACTTTGCAATGGCAGAACGGTTCAATTGATGCCATTTATATACTTTTTACATCAATCTTTTACATTAACCATAACCGAATAAAAACGTCGACCAATGATTTGCAAGCATTTTTCACAACAAAAACTTGCCCGTGCAGTATCGTCTCACAAAGTTATTTGTATCCGCGGTCGTTGATGAGTGAAAGTATGCATTCTTTCGGTATAAATAAATTACGTATTTCACCCGGAGACCAACTCCCATCAAATAACCGTTGCAAAATTGGCCTATTCTTCTGTTAGTTTAAAGTGTTTTCTCTGATTAATACAATAAGCGACTAAGGGTTGGAATATCTTTCATCATTCCGGTTAGACAAAATTCAGCCGATTTGTTGAACTCAATGGCGAATATAGAGATCACTTATCCATTGTGGTTACAAGTTTAAGTTTTAGTTGCAATCGAATCCTGAGCCGATAGAGGAATATCAATAGACCTTAACTATAGATCAGTTATTTTCCAATATATTATTATGGAAAAATTTTTTAAATAATTGGGATATTTTACCTGACGTCTCATTTTTATTTTTCAATATTGAAAATCATGCTTATTTAATGTTATTCCTGTCTGCGTGTTCTTGAGTTTCAAAAAACATGTAATGATGATTTGACTTTTTAATCACATTTAACTTATAAATAATCGTCAATATTTCTCCAAATGCAGAGTTCGTTGGAGTTTACTTAAAACAAGAAAACCACAAGATCAAATTAATGCAAAGTCATTGAGCCGGGAGCTAGGAAACTTAATTATGAGGTAATTTTTAAGTTTATCCAACTAGATGAAACTAAAAATATTTGGACCGAGTTGAATAATTACCACGAATCAGCACAGAACACATTTACACGTACTTTTAAAAAAAAGAGGGGGTATACTCGAAATAAAAAAAAAACATGAAAAATGATAGAAGGAAAACAAAGATTCGAATATTTTATATAACGGTTGCTGTTGGTGTTGAAGTTGAATAAATCATATTAAATTCTGTATTTCTGATTTTGTAGGACCAACCGGATTTTTTTCTCAGATTTAATACATAATCAATATGAGTTTAACTTGTCATGATATAAAATAGTCAAATATATAAGAATACAATGCGAGTCGTCGTTTATGGGTTGGTTATCACTGTCAGCGGAAATCTACTATATTTAAGTAAAAAAAGTAGTCAAAAGGACAAACATGAGAAAAGATGAAGAGGTCTAAAGACTTGAATGTTTTTAATTATCTCGGCATAAATATAAGTAATTCATATATTAAAAGAAAGTTTTGGTGGTGGACAGCCCAATCAAAATTTCTGAACATGCAATAAATCATCAGTTACTGTTTCATCCAATATGAAACAGTAAAAATTATTTCATTTCTATCAAAAGGCATCTATTAAGTTTTATATAACATGTTCACTGGTCTAGCTAATACTGGTTCTATCCGGTTCATCACGGGTATTTAGAATTAAAATAAAGCAATGTATTTTCAGCTTGTTTTGTAGATGTTCCCACCGCGCAATGCTGTATACATGTTTAAAATATAAAAACCACGCTGCATCAGTAGAAATACAACAAGAATTACAAGTTCTTGTAATCTTCATATTAGATCTTAATCATTTAGAGTGATTTAGCATTCAAATTCTTTAATTAATGTTTCCTCGCCCCACAAAGTGTAATCGTTTATGTTTAGTAGATGCGATTATCTGATTATCAATGCATTTCTTGTTCCCGTATGTAACAAAACATTTATTTTAGATTGTTGAAGACACGAACTAAAAATTGAGGTTTTGAAAATCGTGATTGGACGACAACTCTTGCTTGAATACTTCACTTTTAGTTCAAAATTGGAACAGTGGTAATTCGATTTCTATAATCAAGTATGACTAAGCATACATATAAATGCTTCATTTTAGTCAGACATATAGAAAACTGTGTGATCCTTTTTTTGTATTTAAAAAACTAATTGCAATGAATGTTCCACATTGTGCGATATAAATCATACATATATAAATAAAAGAAATGCATCCTTTATCATCTGTCTCTCATCAACGAAAAAATATCGTAGACTGTCATTAAAAATAAATAATCTCGCCATGTTATTATGCGATGTGGATACTGTTAAACAAAGTACGATTTTTGAAATGTGTAATGAACTTAACAAGTCCTTGAGCAACGTCAAACGAAGTAGAAACACCAGTTTGATCAAATATTAACTTGTAAATTTCCACAGAATTGATTTTGACAAAGATTACCCGTAAATGGCACGCACGACAGACCTTTGGACAAGTTTATTCTTTGTTTCTTATCTGTTTATCAATAATTTTCTAATCACACACAAACGCGCGCGAAAATCAAAAAGTTTCCACTGAATAGAGAATCAGAAACCAGTTATCGCCCTCAAACTTAATATAAATTTCTTTCAGTCCTTCAATAATTAGGTACATAAATTGGGTGTTTAATGTTTATAAACTGCTTTGGATGCTGAAACAGGTTTTCAGGATCAAGCTGATCATTCCGAGGCAAAAGTTTCCAATGAACTATGAATGTAGTACCTGCAAAAGCGTTCAAATAATGTCCTCTGTTTTGATAACCGACATAGGTCATGTCATGGGTGATTCATCACACCTTTTTTACACCCACTCGTTAATGATGTTGTTTTTCTCCTTCTTAATTGCAAAAACTTCTTCTTTCGTGTGAATTGTTTATTACTGATTTAATAATGAAATGCGCTAGAATACAAAGGTGAACATGGATGGACTTTTATAGATATCGGCTCATGTCCCGCACTTGAACATGTTCAAACAACCTAAGAAACTTTTCCCGCTAATCCGCCTCATCAATATTGCTCTAAAAGTCAAGAGTGGTGGAACGACAAGACAAAAAGTTTTTAAATAGAGAAGGAATAAGTATGAAAACATCTGTCTGTTTTAAAAATGTTTAATGATGGTGTATTACGGTTATATTTTGCTAGGCCCAACGTAGTTAAAGTATATTTAGATAAGATCTTGGATATATTATAATTTACATACAAATTTCTGAATAATAACGAGAATCCGACGTATGAAACAAACAATGACGATCAGTTTGCAGTAAATTCAGCCACAAAGCCCTAAGAAACTTGTAAGAAGAGACCAAAATATCATACAGGAATCGCTTTCCTTGTACCATGTGTTGTTACAAAATAAAATTGTGTTTCGTTATTCAGACACCAATCCATAAATATTGACATACCCATAATTTTCCAGAAATAAATGTTTGTTCCGTTATCATGTATAACGAATAAGGTAGCTACCGAAGAAGCCTTGAAATATGTATCAATTGCCTCGTTAGAACCACAATCTCGAAACTGGAAAACAGAACGGCACTCATAGCAGCATTACAGAGCGTTTATTCCATAATTTTATAATTATGTAAGAACGGTATTTCTGATACAATAACGTCTTGTCATGGTTTCGGTGGAAGATTCAAGATTCTTATCATAACTCTATTTATAAATTATAAACAATAGAACATGGTCGGAAAATAATTTGTTGAACGATTACCCATTTTCGACCTTTCTCAGAAATAGGCCCATGCAAAGAATTCGGCAATGAGATATTCTTCACCAAGCAATGGCAATGATTGAGCAATTTTTACCAATCCATCTGGTACATTTGATTACTTGTAGACCTATACACGATTCATTTTATTTTAATAGGATAAAAACGGTAAAATATTTAATTTGAATATCGAAAATAAAAAGCTCGTTATAATCTGATGGACACAAATTTTTTATCAACGAAAAAGTCTTAAAGCACCTTTGATGATACAAATTAGGATATTATGACTAGGATATAAAGAAAGAATCAAAAAGTTTCACAATACGTTACAAAATTTAGGTAAAAGGCCGTTTTATCATCGAAAAAACGACTCAAGTCCAACACCAAAAATGTATTGGCTATAAACGTACTTATATTCGCAACTAGCATATATTTTTCATAGCTGCCTATAAATCAACCTGCATTTGTATACTGCCCGAGAACCTAACAACTCTAATATAATAACTAGAATATCGGTTAGAAACCGAAGACTTATCGATCGGAGGTTAGGGGACCCCCCAAAACAGTTGTCTTACTTCATAGTGACACCGTGTGTCCATCACTAATTAATTAATAACTCGCTAATTATAAGACATAATCCATCCAAAATCAATAGGCTTCTGATCCGAGCTATGATGAATGCACATGCAAAATTTGGAGCAGATTCAACCTCGCTTTCGTGAGATATCGCGTGCATCTAACACACAGACAAACAGACAGACAAATACCTATCAACATACTTACCGATCTTAAGATCGATAAGTTATTATGCCTTATCAAACGTATCACTTGCTACATTAATTTTAAATGTAAATCTATATTTTTCAAATTTACTATTAGCCAGATAACACTATAATTCTTAATTAATCATGGTGTATAATATATGATACTATTTGCACAGTCACCTTCAAACGCACATCGATACACGTATATGCATACATTTTGTGCCGGAAGATATATAGAAGCAGAGCCAAGGTTTTTAATGAAATGAATTGCGTCGAAAAAAATTCATTTTATCTTTTTTATTGAATATAAGTAAATAACTTTGAATTATGGAAAAGATTTTGACTGTACGAAAATTATTCAAATTAGTAAATTGCCTAATATTTCGAATGGTACCGTGTTTCCACAAGAGTACGGGTTCACGCAGGACAAGGACACAATATTACACTAAAAAGACTAATGAAAACTCCAACTAACGCGTGAAAAATTCATGGAGTTGTGTTTGTCGCGCATGAATTAGCAATGAGTTTATCGCGGATGAAGAATTTTCCTCATTTCCTTTGCCCGGTTACATAGTCTGTGAATCGACGAAAAGTCAGGGGGATCAACCAGTGGCGTCGAGTTATAATACAAATGTACAGGATAGAAACGCTAAAATAATACTTGGCTACAGCTACTGAGGTAGACGATAATACTACTTGGGAATACAAATCTTTCCGGCGAAGCTCAGTCATAGAAAACCAAGTCATTTAAAAAACTTGGACATGCAAAGGTAAATATACAGGTAGAGTTGTTTGCAGTGATGAATATTAATATTTATAATATATTTAATAAGATGAAAACCAAATAATGTTTTTTACCTACTACGATAAAATTTTAGGAAGGATAGATACGGATATTATGATGTTTCTGATAATATGATATATATATATATATATTTATACATATCGCAGACGAAAAATCGGAGTCTACTAATTTGAATGTAAAATATATTTACTTCAACACTAAACTGAACATAAAATTTCGTTTTTCACACTTTAAAGGAGGAGCCTAACAAACTACACAACTCTGAAGCATAAATGATGGATGGCAGTGGAGGGCACACTGACGTCACGGAAATGAACTCACAACAAGTGTTTGGTCCTGTTGGAGCGAAGGAAGGCGGTTGCCCTGGAGTAAGTTACATCCGCTATTGCCTTTTAGTCAGTGTACATTAATCAGACTTCTTTATCAAATTAAAACACATACTTTCAATCATGCAGTGGACACCGGCAAGAATGTTCTTGGAAGTATTCCTGGTACTGATGCTGGTAGTAAACTTGTTTTCTGCATTTGTGATATTTACTACAAAATCAACATTGAATTTTCATAGTACTTTCAATAAAGTTTGCATTCTGATGATTAATTTTTCTGGTATAGCACTGGTAAGTTAATTTTATACACCGTTTAGTTTGTACTAGACACAGCAATCAATTTGTGCTAAAATCAAAACGATCCGAGAAAGTTTTTTTTGTCTTTCGCGTAAATAATTGATTGAAAATGTGTTACGCATATCTAATCAAGGAAATGCATTTAGCAATGAACCTAAAGACATTTTTGGGTGGTGAGAACACGCCATGCCATACACCAGGATGCCGATAATCATTTTTTCCAGTGCACGATCCACGGGTTTTCCATTATGCCAAATAAACTTATCAGTTGTGGATGACTACGCTAACTAGAATTCTGATGGCATACGAGGCGTCAACGTGATCATAAACATTATTTTTCAATCCGCTATAAAATAGGTACATGACCAAGTACGGTAATTATTATTAGTTGAATATTACCAAACATATAAATCCATCCCCCAAAAAGGTCAAATTATACTTGTGGGGTCGTTATTACATGTTTAAAAACCAGTGATCTAGAGTTTTAGTTTGGATGGAGTCAAAATTCAGATTTACTAATTCTTCTATTCATTCAGTGCTCTCATTTTTCGTTTCTACCGTTGCTGTTCAGTCCCATGATGACTCAAAACACCGATACTAATGGATTTCATCGATATATAGATTTGGCAACAACCGTTAGTTTCAACGTTCAGGATCAGGTATCAAAACTAAGCTTATAATACCACGTGACGATACTAAGAAACCCTAGTACTGTGTTTTCCGAACCCGAGGCCGCGGACTCAAATGTGTCCATTGAGGGCCTTGTTGATCACTATTAGTTAGTTTCCCGCTTTCATGGCAAAGCGAAAGCGAGTATTCATGAAGACAATTATTTCCTGATGCCCATTTTGACAAAATAGCGAAACAAGTTCAGACGCGGGGTTCTAATTAAATGTTGCAAATCTTAAGCGGTAAATGATATTTTTATAGTCGTTCTGGTAAATATCGATGTTATCAAAGTTTATTTAATTCTAATGCCCTAGCCTAGATCCACCGCGGATCAATCAACCTCGTAACTGTTCCGCGGTCAATAAAGGTTGGAAAACACTGTCCTAGTAGCCTACAACGAACTGTGTTCCAATTTTCAAAATATTGCAAATCGGCCCTCGGAAATGTGGATACTTTTTACGGTACGATCTAGCGTCTGACTGCTCTGGTCCAGTTATGCTTATATCAGTAGTATTAGTAACAATCACACATTACACACTACGTCTATGAATGTGTATGGTACACTCGTTGGCCAGTACAGGCTAAAATGTTTGTTTTCTATGGCTCCACAAACAAATTTTTAAATTTCGAGTATCATTATATTTAAATTTGTATTTGCAGAATACCAGTAAATTTGGGAAAAATCATCAAATTACCTATATATATATTCTATATACCAATTTTTAACTGTATGATTGTAGTTTGGGTGCAGGCATATATATATATATGTCTCATATACCCTAAGTATAACTTGTGTGTAATACATTATTGAGGATGTTACCCGCGCTTGCGTTCTATTATTTAAAGGATGACACAATTTACATATCCCACCTTCCAAAACGTAAAGGATTATTTCCTGTGGTCGTCTGGTAAAGCTCGTACAACCTTTGTTTATCGTTTCATGCATTGCTAAAAATTCAGTAACTTTACTAGGAAGCTATTGTAATCGGGGTTATTACGACTAATTGATTTGTGAAATGTAAGTGTTTTCTGAGCCCTGGTATTTCTAATGCCTATATAGTTGATTGTGAAATTAGTATTCTTATGAATTTTCCGTATTCTTTGACATTGCTATATAATCATGAATAAATGTTGTTTTCAGTAATGATTTTCGGAATAGTATTGGACCAGCAAACAAGTTTAACTTATTTCAGGCGAAGACAGAACTGCAATGGTGCAATGTATCGGAAACTGCGTCATGCAAATGGTCCGGATTCAGTTTTACTTTCCTTGTTTTCTCACCTTTGGCTATACTTGTTGCAATGAGTGCTGATCGTGTGGTGGCAACATACTGCTGGAAAACTTATAAATTTCGGTAAGTCAGATATGCCAGAAAGTATTCCCCGAATGGCATTTATTTTGTTTCAATTCTATTGGTAATCAAGAAAAAACTCTCTGTATGACCAACGGATTCGAAACATGCTGCTTAGAGCAGAGTTAAAGAGATATCAATGCCATGTTCACGGTTGGGAAAGGTTTACACAAATTTGCAATAATAGAGTGGATATGATGTCAACTTCGCGGTCATTTAATTGAAGGTTGCACGAAAAGTATATATTTTGAGGAATATGAACCAAGTATTTGTTCGTCTATTTATCAGTTATGCCATAAGCTTGAATAAAATCCCCGCTCAGAAAACTTAACTATCAAGATAATCAAAATACCACATAAATTGCTATTGATCAACAGAGGCCATGCTGTGTCATCATTCAGACTGACGGTGTTGATAGGTTTCCTGGCAACTCTTTGTCTCATTTCTGTACTCCCTTTTCTTAACATCGGAGCTACGTATAAATATGACAGTATACTTCTGGTGTGTGTACTCCCCCGTGATCCTGACTCTGCTTTGACAAGGACGTTTGCTTTAATTGTAAGTATACATACTTGTTGGGTATTTCTCCCAGGAACCAACTATTATAATGAATGATATTGAAAATATTCTAATTCACGGAGCACAACGCATGATGCCTGAAATTGAATTTATTCAAGAATCATGTCCACCACTCCACTCAGAAATAAAACCTAGTTAGATGATGAAAAAAGTAAAAAAAATTCCGTCTTTCCAGGATAATATCTGCGTAAAATGGTTCGCAGTGCAAATGTAAAAACAACGCAAAAGCAAATTACTCTCCAATGTAATAAACCTCATCAGAGGTTCAGAAAAAGAAAAAAAAATTATGTTTTAAATTACAACCTATTTTTCGCAAAATGCAAATTCGCGAATTGAAATTTACTTTTTTTGACAGGTTACCACGTTTATTGCAATTTTACTGTTTTTCTTAATATTGGCGGGATGTCTTACGTTGTCAGCTGTATATTTGAATTCAAACCCGCGATTCGTATCCAGTAACATCGGATCTTCTTTAGTATTTGGTCGATTTGGTGTCGTCAAAAGTGAAGGTTGGAAGCGAGTTAGTCGACTGACGCTTGCTGTTTCGTGTCTTGGACTCGCGTCATTCATTCCACTTTTGGTAAGGACATCATTGGTAAATAATGAATGTACAGTGACATCACAACAGTAACGTGGGGCACAGCAGCACAAACCTCTTCATTATAGGATCCTATCAATTACACCTTTACTGCCTCATAATGTGTTCACTTATCATTTGCATTTAAGGCAGTTAGTACCCCACACTTCGATTTTTTGGATCTAATCTATATACTACAATATTCGCGAAGGTTTTACCCGAATCTATGCACATAAGTCCCAAGTTCATGCCGGCAAATCTCCAAGCATCTTGGGCTTTGGGTACAGGCTTTGAGTATTTTCTCAATAACTTTACATCCACATGCGAGCCGCAAGTTATTCAGAATCCTAGTTAAACTAAAAACCACGCAAAAACCAATTTCTACAAGATAAAATTGGTACAAAGGCGAGTGGGAACAAACAGAAATTTGAATGTGTGTGCCAATCGTTACATTCATTTTAAAAGATTTATTTAAAATGTATTGAATAAATTTCAGGCAATTTCATTTTATCGTCTATTTCACGAGTTGGATGAAACGACACGTGAAAACATGGACATTGCAACAACTGTATTTCTTCTTTTGGTACCTTGTCTAAATCCAGTTATCTACATAGGATTTTCCAGAGATTACAAAAATCGAGCAATCCGAATTTTATCATGGATAAAACCGAAGCGATTCAGGAGGTCGGTTAGAATTCTAACATTCATTCCAAATTAGTTACAATATATATTACATCAGGGTTTATATAGCACAATTATATCGGACTCAAGCAAACATAAAAATTGATGATACTTTTTTTTATAACAGCGGTAAAAATTATCACCAAATGAGGCGTTGGTTCGAACTGAAGGAAAAAGAATTTGCTGTTTACATATAATACTAAAGGCCTTGAAATTTTGTATATTTTCATTGTAATATTATCATAAAGTATTGAAATGTTCGTAGAAAAAAAAAAGATTGGCGTTCCAGCGACATCTTTCATCCTGTCGAAAATCTGAAATCGATTGAGTCCAATTATTGAAAAATTACTTATTGTGATTCAATTATTTATAATCTCTTACAAACCCACTGCAAATTCTAAGCTAATTAATTTGTTCTTTATCCGCAGTAATATATCAAGCACGATGGATCATCGTATAGATAGCAACTGGGATTCGGAAGCTGAAATGCTTCCGAATCATCGAAATATTGGCACCGACTTCATAAATACCTCGCAAATTAATGCCGATGTATCTATCAGCCCTATTCCTGCCAATATCATTAGAAGAACCTCACATAATTCCGGCGCAAGTCGTGAATTGGAAGAGCCAGAAAGAAGAATTCGAGGGGAAAGGCATTATTCTCCACAGTCCGACGGAACGAGGGTAAATGCTATTGTTAGTCCTAACCTGATACCCGATAGAAAACCGACAGGAATTTCATATTTATGAGCATTAATGGAATTCACTCATATGAATCCTTCCCGTATCTGACAGTGGTTCATCAGAGTCATATCGTCAAGGTAATACCAATTCAGTTGGGACTTCGCACGAAAGTATATTTCAAACTCCAAAGCCACGTTTCGGAAAAGGAATGTCAACAGAAGCTATAGACTTTTTTCAGAACGCTCCACGTTACTTAAAATTCTCCAATCATAACTGGGAAATACCGAAACAAAATAGACGAAACTCCGGTAAAGTTCCCGAGTATCATTATCACCATCATTTGCATATCTATCCATCAACTCAAGACCAGAACTTTTTGTCAGAACATTCAAAGCAATATAGTCAACATGAAATAGAAGCCGTAGCTAGCAGCAACCCCCAATTTGGTTTGAATTCGAATTTCTACCAAGGCTATGACGCAAGACGGAGAAAAAAATCTGGAGAAAACAGTAGAATGGAACGACATTATAGGAAAAACCGTCGCCGACCGTCGCATGGGGAAGCCTCCCTTTTTCTATCAGCGGACAACTTGGTATGGCCTGAAAATGTTACAACCAATGATCCATCGCCTTCAAAAAAATATAAACGCGGATTACGAGAAAATAATATACAAAATAAATGAAATACTGATATTTAAACAATTGTGTGGACGCAAATTCTGAAATTTACACAGGGCTGCCATAACGTCTATATTTCTAAGAATATCCTTATTTTGAAATGTGTCCTTATTTTTGTTTTATTTTAGGGTAGGGGTTCTTATACCGGGTACTTAGATTGATCAATTCTAATGATTTATTTGCTAAAAATGATATTTGAACCTCATTGATTGCACTCGTATTCATGACGTAATAACAGCAAATCAATTGCCACAATGACAAAACAATTGCCTACTGGCAAAGAACAGTCCGGTAACTTGAATCAAAATACAGTAGTGAATCAGAGCTTGCAGTTGACGAGTAGAATTATTTCAAGATCTGATAGATTTTGGTGAGTTTAGAAGTAAACCTACTGGCGTTCTGAGCGACTGCCTTTTCACCAAGAATTTCAGAACGTGTCGATTTTATTACTAGTCGATATTTAGTCCGTTGGGCAAATCAAAAAACGAATCCCATGCAGTCATCAGAATATTTGAAATAAATTAAGTAATAGCCTTCTAGAGAAAAATTTAATCTTCAAGCCCTGAAAATTTTAACAGATTAGTCCAGTAATCAAAGAGAAAAGTGACTTTTTAAAAACGTGTCAAAGATCAAGCATAAGAACAACAAAAATACCGAAACGATTGTTATGTCCAATAACGTGTCCGCAGTTCTACTTTAAATTTAGTTTAGATCTGTAACTTCATAAGAGATAAAATGGGTAAACGTAAAATCATTAACCGTGTTGATTATGATATTCTACAGGTGAAAGTGAGATGGAACAGATAGTTTGTACTTGTAGGAATAAAGAACTACTGAAGCAAATCCTGCATAATGCAGAGTATGATTAGACACGGGTCGCACTGGCATGAATACATATTGTTTATTACATTTCGTTCTTTGTTATCTTATTAATACGTTTCCCTGATGTCCTTATTTTTGAGTTCGTATCAATGGCAGCCCTGCCATAACGTATGAAAATCCTACTCAAGTAGAATACTCAACTCGGCATACTTTGCTGAAAATATCATCTGCGCTTTTACATCTTTTTAGCTATTTTTTGAAACTTTACAAGAGAAAACGAGAATATCGGTCAGAGACCGAAGACTTATCGATCGAAAGTTAGGGGATCCCAAAACACCGCTCTTACTCCATAGTGACACCTTATGTGTCCCATCACTAATTAATTAATAACCCTGCCAATTATACGACATAATTTGCCCCAAAATCAATAGGCTTCTAGTCCGAGATATGATAAACGGACATGCAAAATCTGGAAGCGGATTCCAATCTCGCTTTCGTGAGATATCGCGTGCATCACGACAGACAGACAAATACCTATCAACATACTTACCAATTAAAAATCGATAGGTAATAGAATCGATAAGAAAACGATTAAAATCGATAAGTAAACAACTTTCTTATAAATATTTTACGTGTGTACTCTAGAACAGGGTAGTCCGAGGTTGTCGGCAACACCAAATGCGATTTTTTGATCACGTTATGCCCTTACGCGGCGGTGTGGCTCATCGTGCTAAGCGTTAGGAATACGCTCGCCACCGCACCTCTAATTACTCTGCGTGGGTTCGCAGTTCGAATCCCATGCGGGGTGGTTATGTGCGAAAGGATTGCTGGACTCCTCGCCGCCATTGGGTGGTTCACGTGACCGCTGGTCGGTTACGGCTTCCTCCACAATCAAGTCCATGCATCGGAAAAACAAAATACCTAACTAATGCCATACTCGACATGGAATGGTAACCGGACGAGAGGCCGTGGTTCGCCATATGGGTAAGCCGTCAAATCGGCTTTTCTCTCCCCCGGGATAAATATGTAAATCTTCTCCTTCTCTCCTTCTACGACCAATTGTTACCTATACGAGCAAATGTGACGCGGGCCACAGATAATGATACGGTGGGTCACATGAGGCCCGCGGGCATGGGTTTGAACCGACCTGCGTGTATCATGCCTATCACTGCTTCATGTCATGACAGACTGCTCAGCATGTAGCGCAATTCAGACAATCTAATCAGTACATAACGTCCCAGTACTATTAGAAGTACTTTGCGATTCCCCAGTATCATTAGTACTAAGTATACGTACTCTGCGGAATATCTTCTCCTTACATCTCAGAGGTCAATAAACACACAATATCTGTTTTGCCAAGTGTCCATATATTGTAAAGTTACAAAATTGAAATGTTACAGTAACAGATAATAAAATTGTACTTCAATCTTAATACAGATATACGTGATGTCACCAAATTACGACAAAAAACATTACAAAAAGCAAATTTCCAACTCTTGTTCGAATGCGGGAATGATACGCCATTAAACCCTTTTAGGCATGCAGAAAATGATTCGGCTCTCCGACCTTGTTTCAGGCAAATAATGTGGCGAGTACATATGATTACTGTGGATTTCAATTCTGGAAACCTCTTTTCGGCAAAAGAAGCAAAAAGAAATGCGAGTAAGAAATAGCCAAACGATATAAAATCTGGGCGGCCCCATTAGTTAGAGCAAAATTAAGAAGCTAGATTGGCATGGTTTAGATTTAGGGACAAATCCCAAAGCGTTTGATTAACCATACGTGGTCAGAATAATAATCCATATTTTATTTAGACATCTCTCCAACCAGTGATTTTTGATATATAACCCTCGATCTACGGGACAGACCCCTATTAGGTAAACATGAATCCTTAATTCGTTGAGTTATAACGAAAGAAAGAGATGAAACAAAGCGAAACTTTGGAATCAGGGAAATATGCTGCATCTAGAAATTTAACTAGTTCATACGACGTCAAATTACTCAGTCTCAGACATTTTGTTCCTATACGTAACCAGAGATCAGTAACAAATGCCGCGTTTTAGACAGTAAAAACAGACTTGAAATTTCCGTCAGAAGTTAGGAAGCATCGTATTTGGTTTAAACAATTCATTTTGAACAAATAGCTTTATATATATATATATATATGCCCAAATTTCAGTACAATGTTGAAATCTAAGAAATGTGTGCCACTGCAGCGAGAAATTTCAGTATCGCATTTCAGAAGAAAAATATAGACTTGAAATTGTCATCGGAGTTCAGGGGGTATTGTGGTTTCAATAAATATTTAAATGCATTGGTCTGATTAAATCTCTAAACTTTACCAAATGTGGCTTTGACAGAAATGACTTACCGCATGCATATCGGTACTAGTAGATGGTTAGCCGAAGTACCAAGCTTGCTGGACAACACGGCACAAACGTGTCATGTGAGGTCACGCTTGACGGAATAAAAAAGCGTTTCCATGTATAAATAAAAAACAACCAAATTTTGGATGAAATATCGGACTCGTCATCAAATTCAAATGATCCATTTTAGGTCAAATTGAGTCAGTGAGACATTTTCTGGGAACTTACTTTAAATATTTGGTATATGCCGCATTCAAATGAACAAATGCTAACTTGACATTCCCATTCGACGTTAGGAAGCATCGCGTTTCCCAGTAAGCAGTAAGTGAGTAAGCCGATGGCGATCGGTGGCGGTAACTGGCTACGCTAAGCACCAAGTTAGCTGAGCAACATGGCGTAAACCTGACGGAGTCGCACTAGACGGAATAGAAGACGTGGGGAAGGTTGGAACACTTTTTTTTCTTTTGCATATTTTGAGCCGGTAATTCTGCATATTCACTTAAGTTTGCGGGACTAATGCATAGAGGGGTAAATGTAGTTTTTATTCAGCGACTAAGAAATTCCCTTGTGACATACATCTTACTACCAAAATGTTTTGAAAAACGTCTGTCAAGTGTCCCACTGTACCCCAATGGGTGGTCAGTCTGTCAAAATTCAACGAAGTATGGCCTTAAAAATAAGCAAATAATCAGCATAATCGTCTAAAAAACAGGAAGACTTCAAATTTGAAAATTTAATATTTTTAAAATCAATGTTCAACTGAAATTGTTCAGATATTTTGACAAATTTGATTATTTCCTTCCTCGAATCTAAATCTGGAATTAATATTATTGATTCTCGAATATATTTCATATTGGGCCATGGGTCGAAAGAAACCATAATATTACACAAAATATAACGCATCCCAGGGTCTCTAAGTACTTGTTGTATCAAACACTGTCGAATTGTGCCATGTAGGGCATGTCCCACTGAACCCCGGTCCATTGTTCCCCATAGGAAACTAATATTTTCAGACCATCCCACGTCGAAATTCGGAAGGCACATCCACTCGCCAACGTTATGAATATTTTACAGTGGACTAAAGCTGAAAAATATCAGACGGTGGTTTGTCATGTTGAAAACGCTAAAGTAGAAAAAAGAAAAAACTGGAATAGTGAAATTTTAGTTTCAACCTCCCAAAACCAATTTCACCTCATAGCTT